AGTGTGCTGCTTTCATTGAAGCTAAAGGAAGGCAATGTGTGAGGTATGCCAGCGAGGGGGATGTCTATTGTTGTGTGCATTTGGCCTCTCGTTTTGTTGGAAATTCAGCAAAAGCTGAAGTAACGCCTTCTGCTGATCCACCAATGTGTGAAGGTACCACTGTTCTTCGTACTAAATGCAAACATCGAGCTCTAATTGGATCTTCTTTCTGTAAGAAACATAGGCCTCATGGTAGTAACGAAATGACCCCTCCTGGTGATGGACTTAAAAGGAGGCATGATGAAAGTTTCAAGAGTTCAGAGATTAAAAATCGGACAAAAATTGTACATGCTGGAGAAGTTGAAGCTCCTGCCCAAGTGGATCCATCTTCGATAATGAGAAAAGGAGCCCTCCATGAAAGCAGCTTAGGTGAGATGCCTGGTCAGTCCCAGCAAGATAATAAAAGTGATGAGATGGTTCACTGCATAGGGAGTATTAGTGAACCCTGCTTAGAAAGTCCTATACGGCATTCACTATACTGCGACACCCACCTACCGAGCTGGCTCAAACGTGCAAGAAATGGCAAGAGTAGGATAGTATCAAAGGAAGTGTTTATAGAGCTCGTGAAATATTGTTGTTCAAGGGAGCAAAAATTGCATTTGCACCAAGCCTGTGAACTCTTTTACAGGCTTTTCAAAAGTATCCTATCTTTGAGAAACCCAGTTCCAAAGGAAGTCCAATTTCAGTGGGCCATTTCTGAAGCTTCCAAAGATATTAGAGTTGGGGAGTTCTTGATGAAGCTGGTACGCAGTGAGAAGGAGAGGCTGAAGAAGCTCTGGCAATTTTCAGATAACCAAAACATTCAAGATTCCTCTGTTGTGGAATCAGTTTCTAATCCTATTCTGGTGTGTAATGATAAGGATGAAGACAGTGAAAATGTCATTAAGTGCAAAATTTGCTCAGATAAGTTTCTTGATGACCAAGCACTAGGGACACACTGGATGAGTAGTCATAAAAAAGAAGCGCAATGGCTCTTCAGGGGCTATGTTTGTGCAATCTGCCTGGATTCTTTTACTAATAAAAAGGTCTTGGAAACTCATGTGCAGGAGAGGCACCATGTGCAATTTGTTGAACAGTGCATGCTCTTGCAGTGCATTCCTTGTGCTAGCCATTTTGGGAATCCGGAGCAGTTATGGTTGCATGTGCTCTCAGTTCATATTTCCAACTTAAAGCTGTCAATTGCTGCTCAAAAGCAAGACCAAGGATCTTGGCAGAGAGTTGAGCCGAACAAGTCAGATCCCGTAGAGAATATAAACTCTGAGAGTCATTCTGGTCTCCGGAGATATACTTGCAGGTTTTGTGGATTAAAATTTGATTTGCTACCTGATCTTGGACGCCATCATCAAGCTGCTCATATGGGACCAACTTCCATTGGTCCTCGCCTGACAAAGAAGGGAATTCAATTTTATGCACAGAAATTGAAATCGGGGAGACTTACTCGTCCTCGATTTAAAAAAGTTTTAAATTCAGCATCATATAGGATTAGGAATAGAAATGTGCAAAACTTGAAAAAACGTGTGCAGGCATCATTTTCAATTAGTCCAGCTGAAATTACAGTTGACTCTAATGCAACTGAGGCTGCCAATCTCAGTAGATTAGTGGATACTCAATGTTTAGCTGTGGCAAAGCTATTGTTTTCTGAAATTAAGAAAACAGAACCACGGCCAATTAACTCGGAGATTTTATTGATTGCCCGCTCTGCTTGCTGCAAGCTAAGCCTGCAAGCTTCATTGGAGACAAAATATGGAATCCTGCCTGAACGGATATACCTGAAAGCTGCCAAACTGTGCAGTGAGCATAACATTACAGTGGAATGGCACAAAGAGAGCTTCATTTGTCCCAAAAGGTGCACACCAATTGAAAGATCACCCCTACCATCTTTGGCAGTCCACTCATCGGACAATATTGTCAAGACCAGAAATGCTGTTGCATCAAACCTTGTAACCAATGAGTGGACAATGGACGAGTCTCATTGTGTTATTGATTCCCGACATTTCACCCAGGATCTTGCAGAGAGAAATATTATTTTATGTGATGACATAAGTTTCGGACAGGAATCAGTTCCAATAGCTTGTGTGGTGGATGAAAGTCTTTTGAATGCAGATGCGTCTGATGGCCAAATTACTGAATATTCCTTTCCTTGGGAGAGCTTCACCTACGTGACGAAGCCATTGCATGATCAATCCCTCATACTTGAAGCAGGGGTATCTTCATGCAACTTGTTGATCTCTTGTTCTCATATTATGATGCAGATGCTGTATAAGTTAGCTTCTATTGTATCTTGTCCTACAACTCCCAAATCCGACTAGCTTTGTCTTTTTTTATTTTTGTCGTATGAAATCTGTTTTGGCTTGAAAAAGAAACCTTTTTCCTCAATGGAAACGGACACATGCTGAAAATTGAAATATTTTTCGGAGGATATTCTTATTTTCTGATACTGACTTCTATTTAGTCTTTGGTGCCGGAGTGTTTAAATATTAAATACACGCTGGAGTGACCTCTTTCTGTTGCTGCCTTCGACAGCCCTAAATACTTAAAAATTATTGTTTTAGTAATATCTCTACTCATTAGGATTTGCAGTTTTCTGCTAACTGAAAGCAAATGCATTTTGAGTAAGATGTATTTAATCTTCCTTGCGTTCATTTGTAGAGTTCTCAATTGGGGTGTACTTGTGCATATTCAAGGTGCTCTTCTGAAATATGCGATCATGTGTATCTTTTTGACAATGATTATGAAGATGCAAAAGACATATATGGCAAGCCCATGCATGGCAGGTTTCCCTATGATGAGAGAGGTCGAATTATTCTTGAGGTACACATCTTTTCATGTCTATATCATAAATTTCTTTTCCGTTCTACATCTTATATGCTATCTGTTGTATTTTTGTTGATCATAGATGGAAAAAACTACTCTAACCTGGTCTTAAATGTTAGGGACATACCTAGTTTAGGGAATGACTTTGATTTTAAAAGTCATTAGGAGTTTTATGAATACCATTTCCTGTCAACCACTGTTCTGGGGGTTTTGCGTCAAATGTTTCTACTGGCAGATGAATGATTTCACTGAAGTCCATTAACATATTTTAATATGGTTGAGGTGATATGAAAAAAATGTATTAACAAAATAAGATTTTCCATGCTGAAGAAATGCTTATTTGCATCCAAACATTAGATGCATTATATTGAATGGAATTGCATAATCACATTATCTCCTTCAAATGCTTGCTGCATAGTTACTTCCTGCTTAATAGATTTGTTAAGTGGTAGGATGGATCCATCAATCACTAGGCTGTATGCTCCAGTGTTTTCTGTGATGGTGCTATTTATTTGAGTCAAATACATGTTTATTTTTGCTTCATGAATAGATCTGTTCTTATTGTGCTTCTTGCTGTAATTATGATCTCTGTTAAATAGAAATGCTTGTCCCTAAATTGTTAGGAGGGCTACCTAGTTTATGAATGCAATCAGAGATGCTGCTGCGGTAAAACTTGTCAGAATAGGGTTTTGCAAAATGGAGTGCAAGTGAAGTTGGAAATATTCAAAACAGAGAAAAAGGTAACTGACCATCTATTTTAAATTTGCTGGAGTATTGTCATTTATTTGAATGTTGACTCACAGGGTTGGGCAGTAAGGGCAAGAGAAGCAATACTTCGAGGCTCCTTTGTGTGTGAGTATATTGGGGAGGTCATAGATGAGCAAGAAGCAAATGAGAGACGCAATAGGTTTGACCGTCCTATCCACTAGACCTTTTCTGCTCTAACTTTCTGTTTGTGTTTTAGTTCTTGGTCATTATATGTTTTGGTGTTTTTTGTGTTTGCAAAAAGCAGGTATGACAAAGAAAGTTGCAGGTTTTTGTATGAGATCGATGCTCACATTGATGACATGAGCAGATTGATAGAAGGCCAAGTTCCATATGTGATTGATGCGACAAACTATGGAAACATTTCACGTTTCATTAATCATAGGTGAGTTTTTTTTTTTTTTGGTGCTCTATCTGCACAAATAATTTTGTAATGACTTTGCCTGTGTTCCACATTATCTTGAGCATTTCCAATTCGAAGAGAAATATACTTTGTTTTGACGTTCCTGAAGGAAATTTTTTTTTTATCCTAAAAAGATGCATTGAACTCTGAACCATACAGTATCCTATTTCATGGTATACCCTAGCGTCACTATGACAAACCTGAAGAGTAATCCATTTTGGTTGCTGTCCTTGTAGTTTTCAAAAGGAATAATGGTGCCTCTTGTTCCATTTTTGCCTGGTCATGTACATAATGGGCCGGATGAGGGTGTTTCATTGGTTAAAATTTGATAATGAGAGGAGCATATTAAATTTATCTTCTGAGAAGAAGAAAATGCAATGGTTTATCAGGGTTGACAAATTACGCTTCTTGGTTTCTGTATTTTCAAGATGGAGACATCAGAGTCAACTCTTTAATCTTCATTTATGCCACTAACGATGAAAACATTTAAATGCAAATACAAAACTTGGAGTATTTGGTTCAAGCTG